ACCTCCGATCTTATCTGAGAACTGTTATTTCTATTTATCTGCATCGCTATTATTTAATGAAAAATAAAATTAATTAAGTTGGAGCCGGGGATACGGACTGTAGCGCAACCAGAGAAAGGCGACAGAGACAGTGCTGCGGCTGGTGATGTTGAAATTAAAATCATATCCAAAGTTGATTCCTCATTAAGATAAGCCAAAGTTATTCAAAAGGGTATGTAAGAAAATATATTTTCTTTAGTTTTGTAAAATATAAGTGCCGTTGAAAGCTTTGTTTTTGTGTGTTACTTTCTTGCCGTGCAATACGTGACACCCCTCCCAGTCTGGTCAAGTAGCAGACTGGGAGGTATGTCACGTGTGGCGAACTTATAGCGCAGTGGTTAAGCTGAGTGGTGTGTAGACTAACAGCTTGTGGGTTCAGTCCCAACTGTGGCCGAGTTGCCTTAAATGTTTTTTTTTTTTTTTTTTTTTTTTATAAAGCATCTTAATGCACCTTTTTCCTCCCTGTTTGCACCTCCAGTAACTTCTATGCCAATATGTGACGAGTGAATTTCTCCGCTGTGAGATCAATAAAGCTCATCTAATCACATCTACTCCAATCTAAATAAATAAATAAATATACACATGTTCAATAAATAAATAAGCATTCAATTAATTACCCCCAATAAATGGTGAAATGATATGTTCTCATAATAAATCATTTATTTAAAAAATGCTGTTATGTTCCTTTTTTTTAAATTCCTTTTAAAATGCTTAACTATTTTTATTCTTTTATTTTCTTTCAAAAAATCACTAGATTTTAAAAACACTCATAGGTTTTGAAAGGTATTATATATATATAGGAAACTAAAACGCTCGGATCTTTCTGTCATTTTGTGTGCGTGTGAAGCATCTGCAATGTTTTCGTTAAATATTCAAATAAATAAGATGGACTTTAAACTAGCAGACACGTTTGGATTTTTGCCATTTAATTTTTTTATTTAATTTTAAAAACGAAAGAAATGGAAATGGGGTTTGACGAAAACCAGAAATATGGTCTGCCTGCATTCATGAACAACTTATGTTTGTGAGACCCCCTACCCCTCAGGACCCCCGCCTAATCAGTGCAAAAAATAACGACAAATGGCTTTAGCAGGTTATTCAGAGTTGACGCGGTACTTTGCAGACAACTTACTCTCTTGTTCTCTGACAATAGAATTCAACCACCACCATTTACAGAGACCCCCTCCCCCTCACAGCTCAACTTTGTGGTTTCAACACTGCAGCAAAAGTTTCCTGATATGGGGAAGAGTGACTTGAAGGACTGCATTGATAAGATCAACGAATTTCTCCGTACAACACGCAAATCATCCCAACGACTCTCAATGTAAACCTGTTCAGTATTCATCACAATAAACACATTTTCTCTCATGCTCTTTTCCCACTTTGTGTTGTTTTAAAATCTAATCTGAAATATAGAAATAGAAATTATAGAAACAAAATGTTTCACATCAGTTTTTTCAGGAACAGAATCAGGTTTATTGACATTGTCAGAGAAGGAGTTCACAAACTAGGGATTTTTTTATGGTACAATCGTGCAAGATGACACATATAAGGGTAAATAGAATTATAAAAATATCTAAACACTGTGGCAATATATAAGCAATATCTATACCGTATATCCAGGTCTGCACTATAAGTTCGCAACACGTGACATACCTCCCAGTCTGCTACTTGACCAGACTGGGAGGGGTGTCACGTATTGCACGGCAAGAAAGTAACACACAAAAACAAAGCTTTCAACGGCACTTATATTTTAAAAAACTAGAGAAAATATATTTTCTTACATACCCTTTTGAATAACTTTGGCTTATCTTAATGAGGAATCAACTTTGGATATGATTTTAATTTCAACATCACCAGCCGCAGCACTGTCTCTGTCGCCTTTCTCTGGTTGCGCTACAGTCCGTATCCCCGGCTCCAACTTAATTAATTTTATTTTTCATTAAATAATAGCGATGCAGATAAATAGAAATAACAGTTCTCAGATAAGATCGGAGGTGTATCTACAACTACGCAACCATTTTCATAAAATAAGATTATGCAGTCACTTGACTGCATAATCTTATGTTAAATTAATTCATTAACTTTATTTTAATCAAAAACAAAATAAAATAGCGCAGTATCACACCAAGATCCCCAATAAACCTGCTTTTCAGTTGACTGCAGGCCCACAAACGTCACCCTCAGCACGGCAGAGGTTCCAAGCGCCACCTGGTGGTTGTCCGGGTACATTGCAGTTCTTTTTGAAATAAAAAAACTGGCCTCAGGAAATACAACGTGATTCACGTGGGAATCACACAGGAATCACGCAGGAAACCGTCCATTTCCAACCAGTCCCCACTGTATCCATCAAATAAACAAAATGGGGAATTAAATGTTTTGTTACTAAATACAAAGCACAGGTCTCAACGCGTCCAAAGAGGTGGTAAAGTGGATGCAATCAATATCTTGTGTAGGGGGTAGCAGTATAATTTACACAGGCTTGATGTTGTGATTAAATACAGATTGATATAAGAGCCATCACTGACTAGCAGCAGTTAGAGACAAGTAATCACCATTCCATAATGGACACAATATTAAAACTCATCCTGTCTTCACTATCATTATGTTTATTTCCATTCTTTAAACTTGATTTCTTCACAACTACTCCATCTCTCTCTGTCTCCGCTGCTCCCGTTGCCCTTATCATCCATCAAGGAGGTGGTAACATCAAGGGGCTGTGTCCTTGGACATGTAGAAAGGACCTGCTATTGACTGGCATCATGAGCTCCTCTTTCCTTGTTCCTTTCCCGCAATCCCCATAATCCCCCTGTCTTAGCTGCCAACACGGCACACTCATCAGGACCACAGGGGCAGTATATGGGGGGCCTACTGTCGGCACTTATTATATCACCGCTCAGAGAGGGTTATGTCTTCGCTTGAAGCTGCCCACATGAATGCAAACAGGAGAGGGAACACCGCGGATGAGCTGAAGCATAAAGATGTGAATGGACTGCAACCTAAGCTCACATAATTGTACAGATTTACTAACATGAAGTATGACCTCCCACATGTGAAACCTTGGCTGTGCCACCGCATTTTGTTTTCTTCAAAGGTCACGCGGTTGCATCTTAGTCTTAGCTTGCAGCAGAACAAACTGACACATTTGTACAAGGCTGAATACATATGGTTTATTATCTCTCTATCCCTGCTACCTTCATGGCACTTCAGCTGGTAACCAAGGAGGACATGAATAGTTTCTGACTCGTGAGCATACCACAGAGCTGTTGCTTTCTTGGTTAGAGAGACTCCTGCATTATATTTCACAGTGATGTTCAAATATAGAGTGTTCAAATATATTTGATCTTTTCATATTTTGCCACCCTACAACCACAAACTTCAATAGATATAAAAGGATTTTATTGGCCAACTCAAAGCTGTGCATAATTGTGAAGTTAAAGGCAAAGAATTAAGCTTTTATGCTTATATGATTAGATTTTTTGTGGTTTTATGCCTATAGGAGGAACCGCTCAAACATTGTTTCAAAATTTGCCCTCAATTCAGCAATAAATTCCTCAGCAGATTATATCAGTGCTGCCTTACTGTATGTAGTATGCTTACATTATGTAATATTATGGTATTACTTATTTGTACAATTATAGTACTATGCTTTCAGGCTCTCAATGTCTGTAATACACACTGCTACTTCATCCTTTTTTGGAAGGTTGACTATGGCTAATGTGGTTTAGTCATTATTAGTCAAAGTTTTTTTTATAAAACCTTGTTGATGAGCCTAAAATGTTCCATTTTTTTGTTAATTATTTATTTTTATTTAAACCATTCATGATCTACGGTGCCTGTTTTTACTGTTACTGCTTATTTGTTTAACCAGAAGGTGCTAGTGTTATTATTACATCCATCATTGCATGTTTTCGTGATCTTGTGCATCCCTTCTATTTAGTTCTGTCAATCTCTATATATTTTTGATCTGCTGAAGGATGGCCTCACTCTGACCAGCTTTCCTTTCCCTCTGCAGAAAAGCTTCTGCACACCATGATCCTGCCCCCACCGTGTTTGTCAAGACAAAAAGTTGAATTTTGTCTTATCTGATTCAAGCCTCTTCCTTCACATTTGCAGTGTCCTTTACATAACAGCCCTTTCTAAGACTTTGTTTCTATATTGGATTTATTTTCAGTGGTTTTCTATATTGTAAACGCCTCTGGGTCATTTTTTCTGATTAATGCTGTCCTTGCCTGCATTTTCTTTTTAGGTCAAGTAAGAAATTCAAAGCTAGAGATCTTGCTTTCAACTTCATCCCTCCTTCACTGTTCTTGATGATACATTTTTTTATTTCTAAAAACAATAAATAAGGCATTCACAGAAAAGTTGCATTTATACTACAGTAAGTTCAACCTACAGTATTACAGTATTTACCACGCAACTTTTGAAGTCATTGACCAGTGAGATATCATAGTAAATAAGGCCTAATTTAATGGACTCTGTCAGATTTTAATTTACAAAAAACTTTACTTTTTATTCCAGTGTAATTATGCATTTTGTTTTCAATTACAGAGAATCACTATGAAATATAGCACAGTTTGCAGTTGTAATTATATAAATTGGGGAAAACTGAAAGGCTATAAATATGTTTAATAGGCACTGGTTTTGTATAAATGTCCTTATTGATGTATTTTCACATCAAATCAGCTGTGGATCTGAAAATATCCAAAGTTGTACAGAAACCTCACTGTACCCAGGCTTATAATAATAATAAAAAAAAAATAAAAAAAAAACATACACAGCAACAGATACATTGTTTACCCCAGACGCTTATCTCTATCAGGCCAGTTACTGAATAAGAATTTGCTGATGGTATTCTATTGCTTCTGTACAGTAGCAAAGATGATAAAAGAGTGAAGGTGGCAGAGCAACATTTGGATTTTTATCTGTTTATATGTCTGTGTGTGTGTGCGCCTCATCAGGAAGCTGTGAAGGAGAACCACAAGAAGAGGGAGATGGAGGAGAAGATCAAGAGAGCCAAGCTGGCGAAGGAAAAAGCTGAGCGAGAGAAGCAGGAGCGTCAGCAGAAGAAGAAGCAGCTGATTGACATGAACAAAGGTACACTGCTTCTCCCCATACTGCTGCAGAGACGGAGAGAGGGAGGCGGGTGGGGAGTTCAGGGGACAAGAAGCACAAGGGCGGAAAGAAGGTTTTATGGAAACTTCCTGTACACAGATTTGAAGTCAGCTTCTGGTATTAATGTGGAGAAACAGGGGGAGGCGGCCCTTTTCTTTTTTTTTTGTTCATCTTTCAGCTCTGAGGGAATCTCATGTTTACAGTCCTTCCATAGCTCAGTCAGTGCTTCCAAACAAAAGAGAAGTTATGCTAGAATTGGTATTTTCTATTTATCCACATTCTGTAGACGAAAACATTCTCCCCCTGCTGCATCTTAAAATTGAACACATTTTATTCAGTGATGCTTCCAGTTATTGGAAAGTAGTAACAGATAAACACAAATATGCAGCCTGCTTACTGAGACACACACTGGAAAATACAGGCCGCATGTAAAGAAAGGAAATTAAGGCCTGCTTTATTGACTAAAGTGAAGATTGCTCTGTAGACGGCAATTTCAACATGATCATTACCATGCTGGTAGTTTTTTATGTATTAGGTGGAAGGAAAATAAGAAAAAAAAAAAACAGTATAACGCTGTTTCCACTCAATGTTTTAGACCCATTGTTGTGAAATGCCATAATGACTCTGCTGTCCTCCAGCAACGCCAGCAAGTCATCTATTGATTAGTGAGAGCTACAGTTGTTTTACACATGCGGGTTTGGGTGGGGGGGGGGTTTGGTGACAGAGCCTGATGCCTGTGTCTAGTTATGTCAATGACACTGAAGGAATTTCAAGCCTGGGAGGCTTTGCAGGCAGGCAGCGCAGCCCTTTGTCCATTATTTATTCATATTTTTTGACAAACAGACTGGGATTTCCACACCAGTTTCTAAATGTCAGTGCTAGCCAAGGACCTCTCCATAGCCCAGCCACTTTGGGAAATATGACAAGACAGTCTCCAGCACGCCACAGACTCTCCAAGATAATTGATGCATACTACAGTTCTTCTCTTGCTCTCTCTCCCTTTTTTTTTTGTTCCCAGAGCAGAGACCTCTCTGAAAGCTCTACTTTCAATAATCCAACATGGCTGAGCTGAAGGAGGCTTTCTTACCCCCTCTCTCTCTCTCTCTCTCTCTCTCTCTGTGTCTGGCAAACCAGATGGAGAAGGATGGAGAAGTGGTACGATATGAAATATTTCTGCAGGTGCAGATTTTGATCTGGGTTTCTGAATGCCATAATATGACATTCAGAATGAATAAAACATGAAGATGACATGGGCAGTGTTGCCTGCAGCCTCTAAGATAGTGGGGTTTGTGCTGCGCACCAACACCTAGATTACTGGACTGTCTCAATCATGTTGACCTTGAAAAATTATGGAAGACTCACTTTCTCAATCCAAGATGCGCTCGGCACTGCCAGCATTTCTGATGTCAAGGTTTTTACCTTCATTTTTTTTAACCTTGAATATTTTCATGCTTCTTTACTTGTTCCTTTGTGAAAAACAGTCTGAGGAAGGACTAGCCCAGTATCTATTAATGTCTATGGTAAGAGCAGGTGGGTGAGTGAGTTCAGCTTGTTGTTTGTCTTTATACCCTCACTTTTCTTGTGAGATTTTTCCCTGAAAAATATAAACAGAATATAAAATAAAAAATATGAAATATAAAAACAAATGAGGCATGCAAGCAGAAAAAATAGACTAGCTAAGACAGACACAAAACACATGCAAATGAAAAATGCTGCAATAAAATAAAATGAAGAGCAGCAAAGTCTATCCCCATAGCATGGCTCTGCCAGCACCTTGCCTCATAGTGGTAATAGGTTCACTGTTGAATGAAAAGGGATTTATTTCAGAAATTTGATGAACAATAACCAATAAATCAACCCCAAAAAATACTTCAATTAAAAAACCAAATGTACACAAAAAGAGACTGTCCAAATTCCAATTTTCAATTAAATTAAATTCATTTGAACATAAATCGAGACACAATTTTCCACTAAATAAACTTGTTAGTATATATAGCCAGAGAACTGACATTCATTAATAGTAATTGTCTAAAAAGGGATATGAAGAAGTAAAATTTATTTTCATACCCCTAAAACGTATTCTTCATACCCCTGTAAATTTTGACATTACCCAGTTAATTATAGTTCTGTATGACCAGACATCTTCTTATATATGTTGGCTGTTTCCTCTACATGGGGTTGTGCTACACACCAACACCCAGAGCACTAAATCTTGATGATGCTCAACCTAAAATAAGACTTGCTTTCATAATCTAAACACTTGTTGCAAATGTGGTGAAATTAGGAGAAGGGAAAACGCATGAGCTTTGTTAATGTGTTTAATTAATGGGAATATAAACTTTAGCTCATAGGGTGCAGGTAAAAGAGCCTGAATTGTATAACAAGAAACTCCATATTTTCTTGTTAAGCTTCATTCTTCTCTGCACCTCCTCTCCTCCCCTGTATGACAGCCTTGGCTTAAGAGTCTCGGCTCTTGTCTCCCAGCCTGCTATAAAATTCTACATGTTCTTCATATTTTTTAAGAGCTGGGTATTTGAGGTGATTTTTCTATTAATATTTCATGCTGAGCATCACTCGGAAGTGAGCAACAAAAAGTGACTCTTGTAATTCCTCACTCCATTAATTAATCATAGACAAACATTTTTTACATTAATTTTGAATTTGTGGGGGTTAGAAGGCTAAATGAAACACTGAAATAGATAGTTTATACACCTGTTCTTAGAAATCAGACAGATAAAAATGGACTAGAAGCGTCTATGTTTGTTGTGTTTGTCGATGCATTAGCTGAGCAGATGGAGGAAACATATGCCTATTGTATTATAAGAATTAAGCACAGGTCAGTGTCTTATCTATTTTAAGGGATTTACTGGTTTGCTCATTTTGAGGCTTAAAAGGTGGTTTTGACGGATAATAGTATTTTGTTTTAAAGCAATTTCAAGAGTCTATTTTTGAAAGGGGATAGATTTGATGTCATTTCACAAATTGCAACCTAATCCTCTTTGCTCGCAAATGATTAACAATAAAATGCATTTTTAATGAGAGTTTAATTCATTTAGCTCTTTGTCAGGATGGCACTAAGATGGAGGAGGAGGGCAGACAAACGCTTTTAGGAAAGTGGTAATATTACAACAGAATTCTTTCCTCCGTGAAATTAAGTCTTTCTTTTTTGTCACTTTTACAACAAAATGACAGATAGATGAGAGCAGTGTATCACTAAACACTATAGTCCTTATTTGAAATCTTAATGTATGAAATATGTTAGAAAATCATTATCCAGTCACTCAGTTTGTTTTAATCTGCTCTAAGTGGATTCTCTTGAACTGACCAGCTGTTCAACATTTACAGAACCACTTTAAATCAGTGGAAGTGACTGTTGATCACTGGAGAATATAAACCCCAGCCAATGTCTATTTCTATGACAGGGCGAAGAGGAGAAGAGGTTCATAACAGGAAATAAAACAGCCCAATGTCACCAGCAGATAGCGGGGCTCTGTATAGATCTGCCGAATGGGGGAAGACTTCCTTCCTTCTCTAAGGCATCAGAGTGGAGAGAAGCAGGCCCTTCTGGTGGTCTGCATGGTTGACATCACCAGGGTCAGTGCCCCCATCTGGGGCAAGTGCCTGATCCTGCATGTCAACTGTGTATCCCAGTCAAATTCGCTAAACTCTAAACAGAGCCGCAAAGCGTGTCTGCCTATGTTTAATAACTATATGTTCTGGCATTGAGACATATGAATAAACAGCAACATGCTAGGAGACCATTACACTTCATCTATTCACCAGGAATACTTTTTGAAAGGAAAATAACCAAATGATTTGTATTTCTTTGTGTGATAGACAGAACTAAAGTGGAAGGAAACCTAACCTGCTTGAAATCTGAAATGTCTGTGAATTTCTGTCCGTGTAAATCAGAATTCCTTAGAATAATCATCAACTGAATCGTAGGTGCATTTATATGTAACTTCCCTCATGTTTGGACAGATACAGTACATTTGTATTGTTGCACATTCTTCTTTGCAACATAACAAAGGTCATTGCTTCATTTCATTTAGACCTGAAGTATGCTTTGATCTAAGCTATTCTATTTAATCTGTGGTTGTATGTTTAAGGTCTTTGTCCTGCTGAAAAGTTAACTTCAGCCTCTTTCGTTTCCTTTATGAGATTTCCTTTCAGTACTGGTCTTTATTGTGTCCATGCTAAAGCTTTCTCACAGTATGATGCTCCCTCCGCCATGTTTCATTGTTAGAAAGTTGTGTTCCCTGAGATGTATTGGTTCTGTTTTTCAACCGGAGCACCTCTATTTCCTGCAAACCATATGACAAACTGCTGGACTTTTTGGCCTTGTTCTCCCCTCTCTGCTATAAAGTCACAAGTTTTGAGTACAATACTTTTGGGTTTTCTGGTCATCAGATTCTCCCATCTGAGCTTTCGATTTTTGCAGCTCCTACAGTATCATGAGCCTGTTTGCCACTTCCAGATTTCTACCAGGCCTTCTTGTTAGCATGCCTGGTGTTGTCTTGGTCTTATCACACAGGCTTCCAACAAAATACATCAAAGATGGGAAATTCTAAGTGTATAAAAATTCCATCAGGGGCTGCAGTGTAGAAGCAGCTTATTATTAGTTGACTTTACTCAAAACCAAAACTTATAAATATCCTCAACTGTTTCACAAACCGGAAAAATACATTTTAAAGCTTTAGCACATTTTATATTCTGTCATCATTGCATCATCTTTCGCTGATTGGATTGAATGCCCCTCTGCTGCCTCAATCCATTGCAACAGCTTGCAGACAGCAGAAAAAAAAATGCGGGTCCATTGCTTTGCTTAAGCAGAATTCGGGTTGTGATAAATGTGTTTTGGCATGCGACATATGCTACAACATAGTCACTGAACACACATTCTAATCATCTTTTATATTGTTATCTTTGTTCACTCAGCATCTGGAAGCTGGAAAAAAAACAACAATGTGAAATCTATGTTT